TATCAATTATAAACCTTACAAAAAACAACAAAAATTATTTCCCCCAAAATCCAACAACCACGGTTTAGAAACAGAATTATCATTAAAATTACCAACGTCAACTTCGCGCGCCACAAAAATTGTCCTCAATTCTGCTGCTGCTCATTCTGAGCTCTTCTCATCTGCCCCCTCAACGAGGCCATCACCTCTGCCACACCCTGTGTGTTGCTGCGCTCGGGAGGCGGCAGCTTTGCGACGTCTGGTACCTTTGAAAAATACCCATATCACTAATAATGGAGTTTCACAACCCGTTTTACGTGAAGTGGCGAAATTCTCGGCGAAAAACGCGATATTCGCGCTATGCAGTAGTCGTGAAATACGTTTTTCACTAGTGTTTTTCATATCACTATGTACAAGGATCAGCAACAATGATCATCTCCGTAAATTTCCCCAACATCTCCATATCGCCACCAACACATGTGGTTGACAAGATGCATATCCCCCTATACTGATATCTCCCGATACCACACCCCAGCCACATCGTAGATCCCCCCAAGTGCTACCCCTCCGCCGACCGCTGCACTCAGGCCCTCCATATCATGGCGATCTACCATATCACCCAACTCGTCGCGATCAGGTGCCCACGCTGCAACCTACATGCAATATCGAGTGTGAGCTTAGACGATCCTGTATTTTCTCCTATCGATAGTGGTTGTTCATAATATTCTGCTCAAATACGAGGTGTGCACTTCAATGCTATCAAAGTCGCCACATATGAATATTAATAACAACGTGTATACTATACATGTGAATTTGTTTCCCTACATATACTATACACGTGAATTTGTTTCCCTACATATACTATACATGTGAATTTGTTTCCCTACATATACTATACATGTGAATTTGTTTCCCTACATATACTATACATGTGAATTTGTTTCCCTACATATACTATACATGTGAATTTGTTTCCCTACATATACTATACATGTGAATTTGTTTCCCTACATATACTATACATGTGAATCATATTCTGGTCACATGCAAGTTGAGCACTTCAGTCATTTCAAATTCGTCACATATGAATACTAATGATAGAGCGATCCACTGCCGAGCTTAATTAATTGCATTAAAACTGCCTCTACCAGGGATCGAACCCACGACCTACCGCATTGAACAAGAGCGTCCATAAATGCTCAGCCTTGGGACTCAACTTTAACGCTGCTAAGTAGAACCTACACACCAATACTACTATCCAGAAATTCATTCAACTTTGAGAAATAGCATTCCTCAGAGTTTGACAACACTGATAAAAATGTTTCTAATATGATGACATCTACATAGGAATGTGTCCCTAGCCATACGAGGAAAATTAAAAATGAAGTCCCCACAGTAACATCGTAGACTGCTTCTATCTACCCACCTACCTGATCCCATCCTGATGCTGATTTAAGTTGCAATGCGCTATCGCCAAGTTGGACCAGGCTCGGGCATAGTTCGGCTTCAGCTTCAATGCCTGTAATATGATAACAAAGTGATTAAATGAATACTGCCATTCACATTAGTTAGGAAATATTCTTTCGATTAGAAAAAGCAAACTAATCGATATAGGAACTTCATTTCAAAGTCAACAATGGTTGAGATTATCAAAAATACTATCAACTTTCTATCAACTATACTTGGTTGAATTAAACTCCTAAACTTTCAAATAAACCGGATATAATATTAACTTTCTTGGTATTTTATTAAAGCCATGGGTAAAATGTCAACTAAAAAGGTAGAACATTAACCGAATGTGTAAAAAATCAATTCGACCAGGAAACGCTGTAGTTCATAAGCCTTCTCATCATGTCTACATTCGATACGTCAATCGGGGATAGCACGATAGAAGAGGATGCCTCTAACATCCCCTCAGTCTTCTTGGGATTCAACAAGTATGATTGCAGTATTCTGGATCTGGACTCAACCGTATCCTTCTTGAAATCTCGATACCGCGGCACTTGCTGGAGCGCAGTTGAGACTCTCCATTCGGAAAATATTAATAATTAATGTATATATCGGAGTATATTAAGACACTGGTGATGTCCAGTATGGGAATATATGTTTGGTTTCCTCAACTGGGCTCAAGAGTTGCCTCGCTAATTATAGACGTTAACATACGAATTCGACTAGAAGTGTATAGAAGCCAATAAGAATTCCCCAAACTTCCTAAGAATTCTCATATTGTCACCAACACATGTAGTTGACCATGTACATGTTCTTCATTCACATCGCACGAAAAGTGTCGTTCCCCTACCCACCCAGCCTCACCTGATTATATGCCACCAGAGACGCCTCCGACAGTCCCGAATTAGCCAACGTCGCGCCGAGTTTATTCCACCTACCTCAAACACGTGCGAATGAGTTCCAACTCTATCTTCCTTACAAAGTCGGGTCTTCCGGTCGCAACGTCGCCGCCCTCATAAAACTATCCGCCGCCTTGGTGTAGTTCCGGTCGATGTTATAGGCAACCCCAAGAGCCACAGAGGCATCCGCGTCGTTCGGGCCGAGTCCGACCGCCTTCTCCAACAACGCGACGACCTGGAAAGATATGATCAATTTATAGGGTGCGGAGGTGGATTCTCATACGTCCTTTTTTAGGTAGTCGTAGTCTAATAGCATCTGGGAGTTCGCAGTACTAGCTTCGACGAGTCCGTGGTATGCTTCGTGGTTCTGGAGCCACTCACTACCAAAGGGAGGCGTGACAACAAAAATGAGAAAAAAACGACATCGGCAGGATTCGAACCTGCGCGGGCTGAGCCCATTGGATTTCAAGTCCAACTCCTTAACCACTCGGACACGATGTCGATATAAAACTCCATATACGTTCCGACCTCACTGCCTCCAACAACCTACCGTAATATTTTCAACGCCCTATACGAGTCCAACTCATTAGTGAGCGACACTCCAAGGGCCAACAAACTGTCTGTGTTGTACGGGTCGACCTCGTGGCCCTTCTCCAAACACGTCTAAGAAAATCAGCGTTCATCTCCACACCAACTCTTCCTGTATTCTCCTCACTATCGCTTCCACGTCCATATCATTTCCAGCGTGCATCAACCCCAACAGTCTCCATCCTTCCGATGAGTCCGGATGCTGTTGGACCTACTCGGCACTACAGCATCATGCAACTACATAAAATATGATTTTTTTGGGAAAATTTCAGTGAGTTCGCAGTGTTCTCTGTACATTTCCACCCAAATTCGTATATAAACTCCTATAGGAAACTCCTGAGCTCAGTTGAGGGAAGCGTATCGCAACAAGATCGTCGCCATACCTCCGCCTCTAATGCGAGCATCGCTTCCTCGTCTCTGCCTTCTGCAAGCAGCCTCAACGCCAACTGCAATGGTGATTCGGAAGACTCCAAATATCTGACCATCCTCAGCTACCAATCAGCTTTGAGAAATAAAATTTCCAAGGGTTTGATAACGATGGCGAAAAATGATATTTCTAATGAGATGGTAACATTTACATTGGAAACTGACTGATTGAAGAATGTGTTCCTAGCCATACGTGGAAAATTCAACATGAGCTTCGCCCGGGAACATTATACGTTTCTGTTGCCAATACACAGACGACATCATGCTATAAAATGCCTTACGGATTCTCAGTATTGAACTCGTACGTATCCCTCGCCCTCGTCCAGCCATCCTGTTGCAACCACCCTTCCTGTTGTAGTTGTTGCCACACGTCATCCATCGGGCCTAACCCACAACACAAAATACTGTCCCCCTCACAGCACCACAATGTGAGCTTACCAAATATCCCACTATTTTCCTCGCGGTTCATCTGCTCCTGTTCCTCGGCAACCTCCTCAGCATGTGCCATCACCGCTGCCGCTTCGTCGTACAGTGCCTCCCAATTCACCGGCTTACCAGTCGAGTCCAGAACCTGAATTTCGTGATCATCTTAACAACGCCTAATATCACTCCTCACAGAATCACTACTCCACCACGAGCTCGACGATTAAATAGGATCATCACGATTCAATATCAACCATATCGAACATTTTCAAAATGTAAATATATTTTTCAAATAGTAGTACTTCTTACACCAGTCAGTATAGGAGTAGTACGGCTGTGAACTCAGCAGCTCCGAAATGAGCTACCAAGCCCCAGTATATGTACGGAAACAAATTTATATGTGAATTTTTTTTTGAATTTCCGCATAGCACGCACTTCGCGATCCCAATAACGCGATAAAAACCTCTAAGGATCTCCCCCTACCTTATCATCAGCCAACTTCAAGTCCCCTTTAACAATTTGATCTACGAAATCCACGAATTGACTGTTGGCGAACTTCGCGTTGTCTGACGACCCTGACAATTTAACGCTCTTTATCCCTGGACGATAGACATAAACACATACTCTAAAACTCGATCGAATATACTAATTTTACTATCAAGTGAATCAGAACCAATACTGATTAGTTCAACGCACATTACACACTGCAAAAAGTCTACACAGATCAGTGTTGGAATATATATTTGCTTTCCTCAGCTGAGCTCAGAAGTTTCCTTACTAAATTTACACACGAGTTAGGTTAGAAAAGTACGATGCCACCCAACACATCTCAAATTTTCCTCATCATCATCAGCACATGTATTATCCCATCCTATCAACCTAGCTAATGAAAACCTCCAAATATATTCCAGCTCACAAGTTTACACACAATTGAGAGGTGAAAGTATACAATAATTTTAATAGGGTCACCACCACACATAGTTCACCATGCGCACATTCTCCCATCCACTTACGCATAGTCTCAACCATCCTCTTCGCGGCATCAACATTCACAGCAGTCTCATTCACAGTAGCATTAGTGTCAACATCCCTTTGTGGTGTCACCATCACCGGTGCATGCTGTCGAGGCACATGGACACCCAACGGGGATGGATAATTAGCTTGGTGATAGAACTAAATACCACAACTTCACCTCAACCTCAGCGTTCGATTGTAAGCAGGTGTAATAAACTCGCTCAACTCTCAAGTCACTAGATTTCCCTTCCTATGCCTATTTTCTTTACGCCAATTCCAAGGAGCGTTGCCGCGGAATAAGAAAACATAACAAAAATATTCATTTTTCGGAATTGACCTGTGAGAAAATGCGCTTCCAAAGAATTGATTGATAATATTTTCAAACGCCATCTAGCATTTGGTTTTCATTCACTCGCACTGAGAACGGCCAACATCACGAATTTATCACCAACTCACCTGGGGGGGAGGCATCGAATGATATACTGCTTGCCGTTGTTGTTGTTGTTGGTGCACAGCAGACTCAGTGATCGTCGGACCCATGCTGAATGATAAATTCCAACACCCCTTTCCAAACTTCACAGCTTACATTCTACGAGCCATCCCTTTGGAAGCATCGAACTCTTGTGCCCAGTTAGCAGCACCATGTGTTGTAACTATAAAATAATCAGTCAAAAAATAAATCATCCACATGTCGTATAATTTCAATACTCAAAATTAACCATTATTAGAAAAAACTAATTTATTTTCGCTTCCCTCAACTGAGCTCAGAAGTTTCCGCGAAAAATTGCAAATATTGGGGTAGAAATTTCAGAAACCAACAAGAACTTCCAGAATTTTCACATTGCCACCGACACATGTAGTTGACCATATGCATATTTTCCCTACTGCATCTCCCCCCAGTGTTGCAGTTTTAATTTTAATTTTATTTTATCAATCCATACCACACCATCCTCTTATCGTAACCCGCTTACTCTCAGTAACAGGATGTGCCTCAATATTCATGAAGCTACTATCCATCGTAGCAGCGCTCGGACCAGCAGCCATATGCCCCGCCAACCTGTGATCGAGTACGGCTGTCGAGCCCGAGGAAGAGGCTACTTGGGGGGGAGCTCCTGCACGGAAAACTACAACTGATTCATATTACTATTACTA